GGGTAGGTCCGGCTCTGGTTTCAACTCGCAGGTTCACGTCATATATCTAATTATGTGTCTGTGTCTAATTATGTTATGGGTCAATGTGTCTAACATGTTTTCTACAGAAGATTGAAGTTAGCGTTGCATAATAAGATAGCAAAGTTGGATTTATGTTTCAGTAATTGCATATCTCAACATACACCATAATGAACACCTTGACTCTTTAAAGAGACATTTAAAAAGTTCTCTGTATTTATGTTTAAAGGCAGAAAGTCAAGGGAAACAAATTCTAACTGAATCTGATGTCTCCTCCTTTCTTCAGYGGATGACAGACCCATGAAGGGTCTTCGCCAGGAGGACTTGGTGAACCAGGACCTGATCACAGAGCTGAGGAAAGAGTTTGGAATGACATATGATGAGTTTTACATGGTCCTCACAGACACTGACATGAGAGTTAAGGTAGGAACTTATTCTATTCTCGACAGACTTTGTGGTTCTCCTTTTAATGTTGCTGTGACATACTGTAGTTACAGYGGAGGAAATAAGYATTTGATCACTTRCTKATTTTGCAAGTTTGCCCACTAAAAAGACATGAACAGTCTATAATTTTAAGGGTAGGTTCATTTTAACAAGAGATAGAAAATACCATTGTAAAGATCATATCAATTTATTTGTATTTTGCACAGAGAAATAAGTATTTGATCCCTCTGGCAAACAAGACAATACTTGGTGGCAAAACCCTTGGTGGCAAGCACAGCAGTCAGACTTTTTTGTAGTTGATGATGAGGTTTACACACATGTCAGGAGGAATTTTGGTCCTCTCCTCTTTGCAGATCATCTCTCAATCATTACCTCCGCCAAGGGCGAGGTAATTTTTTCGGTCGTGTATGTCTGTCTGTCTGTCGTTCTGTCTGTGGACAACATTACTCAAAAACTTTTGGACAGATTGTCATGACATTTTTAATGCTTATGTGTACTGGGCCAAGGAACACACCTTTAAATTTTGATGATGTTCCAGAACACGAAGCGGATACAGGAATTTTTCTTTTAACACTCTGAGATCGGCAAAGCTGTGATGCTTTCACAGGGTTTCTGTAAAAAACAGTGAGCTGGATTGGACAGCACGGACTTCAAACTCTATAAAAGTAATGTTAAAACCACATTTAATGAGGAATAATTTTTGCCATAATGTGCACATTTACAGAACGTTTTGTGACCAGGAAGTGCGTGACTGCACCATGAAACCTATTTTTCCCATTTCCTCAAACTCACCACATTTCTGAAACAACCAATGAAAACAGTTTGTCTCTACTAGGCTTGTAAACAGAGAGCTGCTGGGCCTCAAAGCTTGGAGAC